TGATACAGTGATACAGTGATACAATGATACAGTGATACAGTGATACAATGATACAGTGATACAGTGATACAATGATACAGTGATACAGTGATACAATGATACAGTGATACAGTGATACAATGATACAGTGATACAGTGATACAATGATACAGTGATACAGTGATACAGTGATACAATGATACAGTGATACAGTGATATAGTGATACAATGATACAATGATACAGTGAAACAGTGATACAGTGATACAGTGATACAATGATACAGTGATACAGTGATATAGTGATACAATGATACAATGATACAGTGAAACAGTGATACAGTGATACAGTGATACAATGATACAGTGATACAGTGATATAGTGATACAATGATACAATGATACAATGATACAGTGATACAATGATACAGTGATACAGTGATACAATGATACAGTGATACAGTGATATAGTGATACAATGATACAATGATACAGTGATACAGTGATATAGTGATATAGTGATATAGTGATACAGTGATACAGTGATACAGTGATACAGTGATACAGTGATACAATGATACAGTGATACAGTGATACAGTGATACAGTGATACAATAGTGCTGTGAAACCTGCGCCGGAGCCTCGGAGCCTCGGAGCCTCGGTATCAGTCGTCCCATCACTAGTTAAAAGCGACACATATATAGAAATATACTACAACACACACAAAACAAAACAATAGTTTGAACAATAAGGTAGTTAAAGATAAATAGACAGGACATTGATACATACATGGAGTATAGCAGCATTTGGAAAAGTTGTAGTGACAGCTAAATAAGTGTGTTCTTATTAACATTATTATATATGGAATATAGAGTAGGCCTATATATGTGTGTGTATATATATGTACATGAAGAGCTGCATTGATATGAGTTAGAGTAGTAGATAAATATGTTCTTATACACACACACACACACACACACACACACACATATATATGTATCTATATATAGTGTCTATGAATAAGAGAGTATTGCACATCTGTATGTAGTCTGTGAATTAGGCAGAGGTTGATGTAACCTCATTTGTAAGGCGCTGTCAGAGTCCTTAGGGTTCGCCTGCAGTGTTTTCTCAAGCATTATTAGACACGTCTTTGATATTTATGTAACAAAGTATCATTTAACACTCTCTCATTCTCACTGACACCACAAGCAAGAACACACACCGGTGGAACTGACATCAAAGATTGTGCTGTGCTGATTCTTTCAAGTCTTCTAACTCTACGCATGGGTTAGGGAGGTTCAGGACAGTTAAAGCATAAGAATCGAGTGGTAGTTGATCAGAACAGCATTTACTCCTCGTGTTAGATACAGCAGAAGGAGGAATAGATCCTATACTAATCTAACCCTCTAAATCAGATGAATGTCATGAAGAGTCTTCAGAAAGCGCTCATAGAAGGACTAACGCTTAAAATATGTCCACAGCTATTTGTTAAATACTGATCACTGGAGGCCTTTGCAGATGGTCACTGATAATAAATGCCGAACCCTCCTTCAGATGGTAATATTTGTATATTTGTGTGATCTCAACCTCTTGCTCCAGTTCAGACTTCTAAGAACCAAATACAAAGTTGACATGATTTTTGTAAACCATGGGTTCTGTATTGATCTCTTCTGCGGGGAACAACACATGAGTGCGGCACTCATCTTGACGTTTCTTCAGCAAATTGAGCACATCATTCAGATGCCGGTCGGATGTTCAGCTCAGGGTCATTTCTGCTCATCAACACACTCACGTTTTTATGGCAGTCAAATTAAATAATGCAGCGTTTTCATTTCTCTTATTTGATTCCAGATGAACATGGATTTGTACAGTTGGCACTGAGGAAAAATTACAATTCAGCTCCAACCAAAACCTTCATCTGAACATCTATATTTTGTGCAGCGAGGAGTGTTCCTGTTTATTATATAATAATTAGATTAGTTTAATCTCTTGTGAACGTTTCACATTAACTGTTTAGTTATGCCAGAAAGAGTGATTTATTTGATATATTTAAAATGTATTTATTTTATTTTAAGAATGAGTGTAAATGTAAAAAAATCTGAAGGAAACGGAGACGTGATCTTTAGGAGAGACCAGCAGCAACAAAGAAACCGCTTAGTTAGTTTAGTTTATAGTAACTGTAGTTTATAATTAACTAAAGGCTTTCTTTAACTTGAGGGGTTTGTTGCAACTCTTTGCAATGGCCTTTAAAACCATAAAGTACTTGAATAATTCATGTTATAATCTAAGAATATGTTTCATTCTCGCTTGTCTTGGTAAAGAACTTCAGACGGTGTCAGGTGATGTTCAGGAGAAACTCCTTCTGGACCGTCCAGCAGCAGCCCGAGTCCAGCTCCGTTTCCATAGTAACAGAGGATTTCTACATCTCCTCATGCACCTGTGAGCTCAAGCTGTATAACACGTCTACAAGTCTAATTTAACACCTCTTGTTCACTTTTCATGTTTCATAAAACTAATGGAAATGTCTGAGTTGTGTATTCTTAAATATAAAACAGTTTTGCTGACTGTCTTACAACTGTGTGTTGGGATTGATGTAATATGAATTTAAACGCTAATCGTGATTACCAGTGAATTTCTCTGTTTATGCTCTAAACGGAGGCTCAGAAAGCCACTGACATAAATATAACCTCATTTCAGAACAACCAACAGAATTATGTGCATGTTTTATGTGCCTTCAAATGCCCTGAAACTGAATGAATTCATCTGAATGCTGGACACTGATTCTCAAAACTAAGCCGCACTGTAGAAATGTAATTGCTTTTAAATCTTCAAAAACTAACATAAAAAAACCAAAAGTAGAATTTGTGTTCATCATGATTTCACATTCCTTTTCCAACAGATAGGCAAACACAAATCCCCAATCTTCCATACAGAGTAATAACTCGCGTTTCAGGCCGAATGTGTGACTTATGTTTGCATAAACAGCGCCATCTAGTGATATTACAGAGGGCTTGTGGCCGGAAGTCCCGCCTCTGAACAGTTTTCCGCTGCGGAAAGACGCGCTGTCCGTCACGTGCTCTCCACGTCACACGTCAGCGCGAGCACGTGAAACGCGATTATCCAGCAAACCGTGAATCTGACGAAACGTTGTTATAGAGCCGTGACTTAGTTCAAAACAATATCAGCCGCGGTCAGGCGGAAAGAGCCCGTGATAAAACTTTAGCAGGACTGTAATGAATAAAGTCCGTCAGTCAATATATTAATGATGGATAATCCTGAAGAAGATTCGCTGAACCTGCACGAAGATGAAGAAATCATCGAGGTTATTGATCTCGATGACACAGAACAGACCGCAGGTGTGTGTCTATCACTGAACGTTTACATCAGGGCTGTCCCAACTGGGTCCTGGAGGGCCGGAGTCCTGCAGAGTTCAGCTCCAGCTCATCAAGCTCTTACTAGATATAGACACTTCCAGTCAGGTGTGTTGAGGCAAGCTGGAGCTAAACGCTGCAGGACTCCGGCCCTCCAGGACCCAGCCCTGGTTTACATGGTGTGTGTGTGTGTGTGTGTGTGTGTGTGTGTGTGTGCGAGAGAGAGAGAGAGAGAGCGAGTGCGTGCGAGAGAGAGAGAGAGAGAGCGAGTGCGTGCGAGAGAGAGAGAGAGAGAGCGAGTGCGTGCGAGAGAGAGAGAGAGAGAGCGAGTGCGTGCGAGAGAGAGAGAGAGAGAGCGAGTGCGTGCGAGAGAGAGAGAGAGAGAGCGAGTGCGTGCGAGAGAGAGAGAGAGAGAGCGAGTGCGTGCGAGAGAGAGAGAGAGAGAGCGAGTGCGTGCGAGAGAGAGAGAGAGAGAGCGAGTGCGTGCGAGAGAGAGAGAGAGAGAGCGAGTGCGTGCGAGAGAGAGAGAGAGAGAGCGAGTGCGTGCGAGAGAGAGAGAGAGAGAGCGAGTGCGTGCGAGAGAGAGAGAGAGAGAGCGAGTGCGTGCGAGAGAGAGAGAGAGAGAGCGAGTGCGTGCGAGAGAGAGAGAGAGAGAGCGAGTGCGTGCGAGAGAGAGAGAGAGAGAGCGAGTGCGTGCGAGAGAGAGAGAGAGAGAGCGAGTGCGTGCGAGAGAGAGAGAGAGAGAGCGAGTGCGTGCGAGAGAGAGAGAGAGAGAGCGAGTGCGTGCGAGAGAGAGAGAGAGAGAGCGAGTGCGTGCGAGAGAGAGAGAGAGAGAGCGAGTGCGTGCGAGAGAGAGAGAGAGAGAGCGAGTGCGTGCGAGAGAGAGAGAGAGAGAGCGAGTGCGTGCGAGAGAGAGAGAGAGAGAGCGAGTGCGTGCGAGAGAGAGAGAGAGAGAGCGAGTGCGTGCGAGAGAGAGAGAGAGAGAGCGAGTGCGTGCGAGAGAGAGAGAGAGAGAGCGAGTGCGTGCGAGAGAGAGAGAGAGAGAGCGAGTGCGTGCGAGAGAGAGAGAGAGAGAGCGAGTGCGTGCGAGAGAGAGAGAGAGAGAGCGAGTGCGTGCGAGAGAGAGAGAGAGAGAGCGAGTGCGTGCGAGAGAGAGAGAGAGAGAGCGAGTGCGTGCGAGAGAGAGAGAGAGAGAGCGAGTGCGTGCGAGAGAGAGAGAGAGAGAGCGAGTGCGTGCGAGAGAGAGAGAGAGAGAGCGAGTGCGTGCGAGAGAGAGAGAGAGAGAGCGAGTGCGTGCGAGAGAGAGAGAGAGAGAGCGAGTGCGTGCGAGAGAGAGAGAGAGAGAGCGAGTGCGTGCGAGAGAGAGAGAGAGAGAGCGAGTGCGTGCGAGAGAGAGAGAGAGAGAGCGAGTGCGTGCGAGAGAGAGAGAGAGAGAGCGAGTGCGTGCGAGAGAGAGAGAGAGAGAGCGAGTGCGTGCGAGAGAGAGAGAGAGAGAGCGAGTGCGTGCGAGAGAGAGAGAGAGAGAGCGAGTGCGTGCGAGAGAGAGAGAGAGAGAGCGAGTGCGTGCGAGAGAGAGAGAGAGAGAGCGAGTGCGTGCGAGAGAGAGAGAGAGAGAGCGAGTGCGTGCGAGAGAGAGAGAGAGAGAGCGAGTGCGTGCGAGAGAGAGAGAGAGAGAGCGAGTGCGTGCGAGAGAGAGAGAGAGAGAGCGAGTGCGTGCGAGAGAGAGAGAGAGAGAGCGAGTGCGTGCGAGAGAGAGAGAGAGAGAGCGAGTGCGTGCGAGAGAGAGAGAGAGAGAGCGAGTGCGTGCGAGAGAGAGAGAGAGAGAGCGAGTGCGTGCGAGAGAGAGAGAGAGAGAGCGAGTGCGTGCGAGAGAGAGAGAGAGAGAGCGAGTGCGTGCGAGAGAGAGAGAGAGAGAGCGAGTGCGTGCGAGAGAGAGAGAGAGAGAGCGAGTGCGTGCGAGAGAGAGAGAGAGAGAGCGAGTGCGTGCGAGAGAGAGAGAGAGAGAGCGAGTGCGTGCGAGAGAGAGAGAGAGAGAGCGAGTGCGTGCGAGAGAGAGAGAGAGAGAGCGAGTGCGTGCGAGAGAGAGAGAGAGAGAGCGAGTGCGTGCGAGAGAGAGAGAGAGAGAGCGAGTGCGTGCGAGAGAGAGAGAGAGAGAGCGAGTGCGTGCGAGAGAGAGAGAGAGAGAGCGAGTGCGTGCGAGAGAGAGAGAGAGAGAGCGAGTGCGTGCGAGAGAGAGAGAGAGAGAGCGAGTGCGTGCGAGAGAGAGAGAGAGAGAGCGAGTGCGTGCGAGAGAGAGAGAGAGAGAGCGAGTGCGTGCGAGAGAGAGAGAGAGAGAGCGAGTGCGTGCGAGAGAGAGAGAGAGAGAGCGAGTGCGTGCGAGAGAGAGAGAGAGAGAGCGAGTGCGTGCGAGAGAGAGAGAGAGAGAGCGAGTGCGTGCGAGAGAGAGAGAGAGAGAGCGAGTGCGTGCGAGAGAGAGAGAGAGAGAGCGAGTGCGTGCGAGAGAGAGAGAGAGAGAGCGAGTGCGTGCGAGAGAGAGAGAGAGAGAGCGAGTGCGTGCGAGAGAGAGAGAGAGAGAGCGAGTGCGTGCGAGAGAGAGAGAGAGAGAGCGAGTGCGTGCGAGAGAGAGAGAGAGAGAGCGAGTGCGTGCGAGAGAGAGAGAGAGAGAGCGAGTGCGTGCGAGAGAGAGAGAGAGAGAGCGAGTGCGTGCGAGAGAGAGAGAGAGAGAGCGAGTGCGTGCGAGAGAGAGAGAGAGAGAGCGAGTGCGTGCGAGAGAGAGAGAGAGAGAGCGAGTGCGTGCGAGAGAGAGAGAGAGAGAGCGAGTGCGTGCGAGAGAGAGAGAGAGAGAGCGAGTGCGTGCGAGAGAGAGAGAGAGAGAGCGAGTGCGTGCGAGAGAGAGAGAGAGAGAGCGAGTGCGTGCGAGAGAGAGAGAGAGAGAGCGAGTGCGTGCGAGAGAGAGAGAGAGAGAGCGAGTGCGTGCGAGAGAGAGAGAGAGAGAGCGAGTGCGTGCGAGAGAGAGAGAGAGAGAGCGAGTGCGTGCGAGAGAGAGAGAGAGAGAGCGAGTGCGTGCGAGAGAGA